TTTAAAATCTTCACCGCGAGTCTTACACGTTATTACAAGACAATGGGTTAATCGTCATCAGTAACTGAAATTATTGGGATGAATAACTTTTGTCTCCTTTTATCGAGAGATTAAATATTGAGAATGTTTGGAACTATCTTAGCAAATTCTTAACAAATTCAGAAAGTGGAGTTAATAGATTTAGCCAATGAGCAGCTCAAATGATACACATACATATACTGCAATTAATCACTTACGATATGTCTTCGCAGTGCTTTCCCATACTCTATTTTTTTATTCCATTCTTCACCTTGCTGCTTCAGTTCAACGTTTTTATCGTGCTCAGCCTTTTTAAATCTCTGCATCATTTCCCAGGCTTTCAGATCCTTGACCTTCTGGAGTTGCTTCAATCTTGCTACCGCAGTTTCTTTTCGAAGCTCCTGTAATTCCCTTCGCATACGAGACTCGCGTTCTTTTCGTATTTCCTCCTTTTCTTTGTAGTCTGCTTCCTTCTCCTCTACAGCTCTCAGCAATATCTTTTCGTCTACATCTTCTTTGGACTGCACGAACATTTGATGCTTCTCCGCTATTAGGATAACAAATTTCTGATATTTTTTATTACGGAAAACTCATTTTTAATTATCGATTTGGAAAACTTGGATGGAACACTTTTAGTCAATTTCAAAATGAAAAGTATTTTGCTTAATAATTAAAATGCAGTTCATATGTTTGTAATATAGGTGATGTAAAATAAGTATATCCGTCGAACTCACAATTTAGGTAACTTATAATATAATTATCTTGAATAATTATCTCCTTTGCATTGAAAATTATCAAAAGATTATTTATTGTTTTATGTACTTTCAATATTAATCATTTTATTATTCATTTTGAAAATGAGTAGTTGAATTAATTAATAGTAAAGGAATGACAGCATTTTTTGAAACACATTCTGACATTTTTTTCTACCAGTATGTGAATACTTCAAAACTGTTTTTTTTAAATACCACATAGTTGCCTATGTGTACCAAGTTATTAATTAAAATCTTCTCAAAAAAATGATTTATACAAATTTAAATTGACATGATGCCTCAATATGAACATACAAAGGAAATGATATATCTTATCAAACTTCAATAAATGTATCAAGAAGAATAACTCATTACTTATCGCTTGAATTTTATGCTCTATATTTTTCTTCCTCTTCAATTGAACTTCTTTGTGCATTTTTTTAATTCGTTCCTTAGCGTTCTGATAGGCTTCGATCGCTCGATCCTCAAATTCTTCTTCCTGTTTCAGCTTAAGATCGAACTGTTTTTTCTCTTCGATTGCATCTTTAAAGAACTGCTTCAGTTTCTGTTTCTTGTTTCGCAACTATAAACATATTTACAAGGAAACGTACATAGATTGTGTGAATATTTTTCAAGCGAGCCAAAGTAAATATAAACGAACAGAACGTCGAAGACACTGACTTCTTGCTCTTCGTGCTCTTTCGCATCCTTCAAGTATTTATTTATATTAATCTGATCCTGTTTCGCAGCTTCAAATTCTTCGCTCTCCTTTTCCCTCGTGTCCTTCTCATTTTCTTCGATTCTACAGTCCTCGGCAATATTTATTACACAAATACATTACAAGAAACTCCATGCAAATATTTAACAACTTACTGTTCCTTTAATTCCTTGGCATATTTCTTCTGCTTCTCGAGTTGTTCTTCAGCTATCTGTTTCTGCTCTTTTTCGTATTTCACCGCATCCTCTTTCATCAACTTCACGTACCTCGTTTCTTCCTCTTTATCGAAGTTCTTGAAAGTTTCTTGAAATTTCAGTTGAGCATCCAATTCTCTATAGCACTGTTGAAACTTAATTAATTAACTTCACACTATATTTTTTCATTTGATACAGTCTTTCACATCCATTATATATGAAGTACTTTAAAATCAATTAATTAAATTAAACTAAGTTAAATTAACTAATATTTATACGATATTAAATTAATTCTTAAGCTTTATACAATCATCAACGTAAATTATTACGATGCACTAGAGAATATCGCTAAAATATTTGTTTATTAATTATGATGCACTGGATTTAATATACAAGTCTTATTCAGCGAAAGTAGCTGTAAGGATTAGATATTTAAACCGTTTTTTAAAATGAAAAAATTAAAAATTTCTATATTATAATATATAATATATAATATATAAAAATTTATATATTATAAAATACCTCGGAAACGAGTAGAGCTCGATTAATGCGTCTGCACATTGGCTTTCGGTAAAGAATTAACCTTTTTGCTTGTTTTATTATTTCTGCCCTTTCAGCTGCCTTTCTTTCAGCACTCTCCTTGACAAATCTCTCCTTTTCTTCTTCTTCGCGCTTCTTTTTCGCCAAAATTTCTTCCACTCTTCGTTTTTTGATGTCCTGATAAAAAAATACTAGAATCTTGTCATTCGTTTGAATTATTTGATCTTAGATTGTCTGAATAGTTAATTATATATTCTCAGATTCGTGAACCTTGAAATTTAGAAAATAAGGGTAAGCAATTATTGTCAAATTAAATAAAGGCATAATCGATGAACAATGTAATGTTTATTCGTTTCCACTAGGACGACAAAAATGTAAGATCTTTCATGTAATATGAATGAATATACTAATGAGCTTATTTATTTATATATTGCAAATGAGCGAAGAATAAGTTATTAAAAATTGAAGTAATATCTTTGCGGAATTATAAATCCAGTACATTTGTATAAGAAATTATAGAAATGTAATTGACAAATTAGTTGACTTAGTTTATATTAAGTTTATATTTGATACTGACACATTTTTGAATAACAGCATTAAACAGTATTAAATTAATATATTATATATAATTATAAAACAGTTGAATACGATATTTAAAAATAATTATAGATAATTCTAGAAAAATATATATAGATATATAGATACAGGTGTATTATAGAAATTATTATTATAGAAAAGTTCGATACAATATTTAAAAATAATTATGGAAAATATTACTTTATGTTGAACTATTTGAAAATACCTCAACAGCAGTAGTAAATCTTCCTGGATTGTCCGTGACATGTTCGTCTGAATTTCTCTTCGGATTTTCTGCGGTAACTTCACTGGTTAAATTTTGAGATTCTATTGCAGGTAGTATGTCTATGTGAGCCTCGGATTTCTGTTTAAACATATCTCCTTTTACGAAAGAATTATACAAGAAAACTAATCAATATTATTTGTAAAATGTGCATAATTGTAAATAGACTGTGAATAAAAACAGAGCGTTTGTGATGATTAAAGGAAACAGTTAAAGAAGATATTCACGGAACAAGACAAGATCGAGGAAAATATTAAAACATAAAATAACGGACAATGTAGTTAAAGAAGAAACGATCTGTTGTTTTTAGTATTGTTTTAAATATTGAACAGAAATACAATCGTTTCGTGCTTTTGAAATAAAAGGAATTTCCTTATTACTTTGAAGGATATAATACTTTTATCTAAGCATAGAATATATTACACGATAACGTACCTTCAAACTAGTGGAAGATTTTATTGATTCTCGCGAGGCTGACATTTCGTTAGATAATATTATAAACTTCAGTGATTTTACGATTTTTCATTGCCTCCTGAAAACGGTTGAAAGAATAGCAAATTATTCCTTTGCCCAACATGTAATACGTGAATCAGCCCGTGCGATTCAAAGTTCATAGTATTACATAATATTTGTACGAAATTAGTGAATAGTTCGATCAAAAGTTTCAATTACTGTATAATTGCATATTTCAATATAATACGGTACCGATTTAAATATTGGCTTATGTTTCATTTTCAACATTTAAAAAGATTCAATTATTTTTACTTTTATCTGTATCTATCTCGAATACTCCGAAAATACTATAAAATGTTCTCACTTTTCTGTTTCTTCATTGAAGTTATCGAACACCATACGTAGATTCGGCTCAGTTTACACTAATATCAGCTGAATAATAATAATAATAATAATAATAATAGAAATATAATTGTTGACTCGTATATAGGTACATAAATTAAAGAAGCCAGTACAAATTAAAATGCGATGAACTATGTGATTGCGTTCGCTAATGATAACGTTGCGGATAACTTTGGGCTGTAGGATTGTTGTCTTGGAAACCAAGTTGGATCGATAAAACACCTTAAAGGACTACTATATTTTCAAATGATAAGTTTTCATATAGTGTCGAGTCAAAATTTAGTAATACATGTAGCACTGATTCAAATAAATAAAATTATATATTTTTTATAAATATTAGTTCCTTTTAATTATAGCTTCTACATTCGTTGAAGTTAAGAAAATATAGTATTTAGTATCACATTTACAGATTTTAAGAAATGGAGTGGAAAAGAATGAGTACGAAAATGCATAGGAAGGTATAATAAAGGTGAAACAGTGTTATAAAAAAAAATAAACCTTTTGTACCTTTTCATTTGGTATTTAGACAATCTTTACGTTTTTTGTGGATGATTGAGAGAGTTATTCAACTTGTTTACTTTTTAGTATGTTCATTATTCTTGTGTATAATTACAATAAATGGAAACTCACTTTGATTACACTGGAACGAATAATGACTTCAATGAAAAATGTTTCAGCTAAAAGCTTAGAAGCCATGTGTAATTCAGGTTTTTTTTAATGGAATCATACATTTTTGTTGTACAATTCGATTAATCTAGTAATTTTCCATAAAGAGGTATTAATCTATGCATAAAGGATCACTGGTTTAGGAGGCATTTTTCTTTCAATCACTCAAAGTGTGTACGCAACATTTATATTTTTAATAGGGTGATAAATTACAAGAAAGTGAACAATTCGCATATGCATCCGAAGTTTCGCTGCACTTCGCGTCATTATAATACAATAATCAGAAAACAGAAACATATAATTTCAGAACATTACATGGTTTCGAACATTATGATAAACAACTGTATACAATAATAAGATTTTGAACACTACGGTGTACGAATACTATTTTGGCTATAATTAGAATTCTGTAGCTTGCGATCGTTACATTTTCAAAGTTAATTTAACGTACAGATACTTAAAAATAAATATTTAAAAATGTACACAACTTATTTCTCCATCAGAATGATGCATTATAATTTCATTTTCAATTAGTCTTTTATTATTTAAACTTGTGGGTTTGAGATTACATGATTCGTGAACTGGATTAAATGATATTTTTACAAGATAAATTACTTAATACTATATGTTTGATTTTACATATGAAAAAAGAAATATGTTTTCTGCAATAACAGTGTTCAACGAGGAAAGATGTTAAGTACTGAAAGATTTAATGCCTTATCAAAAATTTTAAACCCTGTTTCTCGGGAAACAAACCAACGAATGTTCAAAATTTCCAAAAAATCTCGACCGAGAAATTTTACGTTCTTCAACTACACGGACATACGTATATTTTTCAGTTTTTCCATTGGTTAAATGAAATTCTAAATGATACTTCTCTTCTTCAGTAACGTAAGAATTTAATTTAAATTAAAGCCATTGTTTCACGTAATTTTTTGTACAGTTAAAATTACAACGCTGTAAAATATACTCTTCTATAAATCTACCAAGGCCGCCACATAGGATCCTGTTTATCGATATGCTCCACGTCAATTTCTTCTTCGACCTCGTCCTCAACTTCCGGTTTAACTTTTTCTAATGCACGTTGGTACCTCAGAGATTTCATATCAAGAATACTCTCTGAATCTAGCTTCTCACTGTTATCAACATTCATCGCCGTGTTACATTGAAGCGGAATATCAGGCGCAACTTCGTCCTGGTTAATTTCGCAATTCGCTGTAGCATTTTTATTGAAAGATGTTTCGTTGGTGTCTTGAATTATTTCGTTTTCAACGGACGACTCTGTTACAGGGAGAAGCGGACTTGTCTTCAGCTGAAACAAATGTAACAATTTAGTTTGGAAAGCCAATAATTATTTTATAAGCGTAATAATGTCATTATGTGTGGTGTACAGTCAATATTATGCACAAGCCACGTTGTTTTAATGTTTCTAATGTTTCACCAGTATTATACAGTAATTTGTTCCATATTGTTTTTTGTACGTAGTGAACAAAAAAATTGTGTTCGGAACAAACATCTGCTTTAAAACTATTGTAATATATTTCATCTTATTTTAATCAGAAAAATTAGAGATATGCTGAAAATATTCTAGAGAAAAATTTAAAGGCAAATATGGTTTTTAATTTTTTCGGTTACTCGTCTTTGATTCTATTCTTCTTGTTATTGACCTATCGACCTAATTCGTCAAAAAGGTAATATTGTAAAATAGAAAAATCATTAGGCGTGTAAAGTAATTAATATAATATATGCATAGCAAACAATTTGAGCGATTATATTGACACACTTTTAAACACAATTTATTAAATTTAATTCGAATTTTTAATTTATTACACAAATCTTGCAGTTCAGTTTTGAAATGTGCAATATAACAGTACCTGTATATATATATATATATATATATTTTTATATTTTTTTTAATAAAGGCTTTCGAAAGTGAATACCACGTAATTTAATAAAGATATCCCGTTGGTGAAAAACGAAGACTCAATTCTGCGTATGAAAAAACTTTCGCTTCATTGTGTCGCGATTTGGTCTTCGATAAAATGATAATTACCGTTGATTTCGATGCCCGGTTCTTTTGAAGACCAGCTGCCAAGTATCTTGCTAACTTTTCCGCACCTTCACCTGGAAGAGCGGAGAGAAATCTGTATGCTTCAGCTGCACAGTGTCCAAAACCAGACAACCACCGACTTTCAGCAGAGATATCATCGTTTTTGACAATTGTGTTCGACAATCCGAAAGATTGCAAACCTTGTAATCTTTGTAAATGTCGGACCGTCAACTCTAAAATGTCCGCCTTCTCCAGCTTGCTGATGTCTTCTTCTTCTGTCTGCAAATAAAGAATCATTTTATTCGGCAACTCGTTAAATGATGACAGATAATAAAGAGATATTAAATGTTAATATCAGATTACACTAAATGTACATAGAAAGTTGGAACGTAACATCTGATAGTCGTTTAAAACACTTTACACGATATATGTGAAGTTCAGAAATGTATTTTTGAAACTCTAACATTTGCTCTTCATTCCTTAATATTATACTTTTTGTTATAAAAAGCATAAGAGACTGCAATAAATTTGTAAAACATTTTATTACAGAATTCATGGGTTTGAAGGGTCTACGTTGTACTTATATCTCGAAATAAGTATTTCTGGAAAACCTAAATAAATCCATTTTTAAATTACTTTTTATATTCACTGTAAACAAAGGAAAAGCAAGGGTTTTGGGAAAAGAAAGATAAAAAATTTGTTGTAGATGTAAGATCTTATTGAGATTATTTTTCTATAAAGGACTGCATTGAAATTGTTCATAATAAGTTAAATTCATAAAAAAATGTGTAAAATTTTACAATTGTTATAAGACAGCCATGAATATCAACAATTTGGTAGGTATATATAAATAAAAAAACATTTGTTTTTTAACATTATTATTATCACAGACATTTTCAATTATTATTTAGTTTATTTTTATAATGACAAACTGAATAGCTAATGTGTGATTTAACTTTCAAGAAACATCATCTGAAGATAAAGAAATGTTAGGCATTGTAACGGTTGCCCGATGTCTCGAGAGAGGGCGGTAACGAAGATGAAAAGAATTCATTCAAAAATTAGTTCAAATCTTTTAAAAATTTTGCATATACATTGCTCCATTCAATTAACAACAAATAATATATTTACATTTAAAATCTTGATAATGTACCACATATTTCGTTCTATATAATCAAAAAATAAGATTATTCAACAAAAGAAAATTCCAAGAAAAAAAGGAAAAAGAAGAAACAAGTGGAACAAATACATAAACGTAAAGAATACAATTTTTTCATATAAATAAAACCGTACGTTAAGTCAATAGCAAAATTTGTTCGAATACTCACTATTTGAGATTATTCTAAAATACTGAATATGTACATTTAGATTTTTTATTTCGGTCGCGAGCACCGAACGCGAATGAGACTTCATCTACCGAGCCACGTTCCCGGCGTTTTAGTTTCATTGCGTTACACGAGACATTCATGTATGCGCATGCATTACATATTAATTTAATGAAACCGATTTAAACGATAACGATCGCGCACGTAATTGCAGTGTAGTCGCGTGTTTACTTGACACTTTCGTGGCAGTTCCCACGGTCTAGGAATATTTAAATGCAGAATCGATTGCACGCGTAGTTGCAGTCGGAGAATGCATTTCCTGTTGCGAGTAATTCATAAAATTACTCTCGGATGGGGGTGGGGGCCGGGGGGAGGTGACGTGGTATCGCGCGGTCTGTAAGTCGAGCAAGAAATCGTGGCTTCCTTGAAAGGCCCTTCCTTCCACTTGATGGAAGAAATCACAGCACGTGTTCGCACGTCCGACCAGTTGTACATATCAACAGATTTCATTAGAATATTGCCAGCAAGGAAATTTATTCGTAAACTAATGCACGCTGGCAACTCGATAATTATAAATCATATCTGTAGAACTTCATAGATTTTCCGAGATCTACATCAGACGAATTGGGTCTCATTCTTTCCTCTTTATGGAAATAAATCTCAAAGATTTATGGTTTTCATTGTATTATAATCGAGATGAAATAAAATGAAGATTATAATATACTTCTGATGCATTTTTATTTTACATTCAATGAAACCAAATTTTAAGGTAGAGTTCTTTCGTGTACTTTTATTGGTAACAGTAATGTTAATTATAGTTTATATAACAAAAGTACGTACCTCTAAAGCGTCTATCATAAGGTTCTTCAACTCGTCAAGGCACTTGTTGATTCGAGCTCGCCTTTTTCTTTCTAGGAGTGGCTTCGTTATCTGATACAAACAAAAGATCTGTATTAATTATTGATTAAGAAAAAGTCAATTTCAAAACATTATTTATATAAAAAATTAAAAACCTGTTTAAAACAAAAGAACATGAAAAATAGAAGAGAATTACAAAACGCGATATCGGTTGAATGAAACAGTACTAAGCTCACTATTACCGTGAAATTAGTTATTAACAATCAACCAGAAATGAATGAAAAAAATTATTCAACCTAAAGAGAAAGCAAAAATGACCAGCAAATGCTAATTCGATGACCTGAATTGTTTTGTGTTGTTCTGTACAGGGACCTTTTTTGCTTCTATTCTTGTTCATTTTACCGATGCATCTTACGTTATGATCAGCCACTTATTGAATCTCGATTATACTCATCGTACTAAAAAAAGAACACTGCTAAATAGGACGTTGGAGGAATTGTTCTTTTATGCACATCCTGTTTTTTTAGCAATACTGAAGAAGAGTAAAGTATGGTGTATGGAAGTGTTTCAGAGTCACTTTATAATTCTAGAATATATGAATGTTACTTTATAATACAATAATTCTTCGATTGTTTTTACATTCCTAGAAATTGAAGCTCTTTTATTTGTTTCTTCACTCTTCTTTTAAATAACAGCTTCCCTGAATATCTATCGAATGCAAAGTATCCTATTTTAATATTTAAATGCATCTACCTGCAGGACTACTCGTTATTTAATAAATTTCTCAAATGCAATGTTTTATATTTTGACAATAATTTAATACACTTAGTTCGTCTCTAACCGAACACATGTAGGAGACATGAAAGTCACTACTATTTCTTCGAGTATAATCATATCATTATTTTTGCATCAGACGACACAGCAAGTCGTTTTTTGCAAAAAGTGTTAACTCGTTTACGTCGGAGACCGATCGAAACGGAAAAGATTACATTTAAGACATTTCCTAGATAACGAATGATTCCGGGGATAACTGGATTTGTTGATAAGAAGGGGCACCCTATGTACAGACTATCTGACATACAACACTGCAGAATGGTTGCCTTGATACAGGCGTTATATACATTATAATTGCGCAAAAGTGGTTTACAATTTTAATGCAAAAACGTGAGTACAAATATAAGATATTTTAATTATTTTGAACATTACTGGTATGTAGACCGTAGATCTTTATGTAAAATCAGAACTTTCACGAGTGATTTAAATAAACAGAAGTCAAGCGTAAAATTTATTTTTTCTTTTAACCCTTTCACTGCTGACACCGTGTAATATAAGATATAATAAGAAATATAAGAATATATAAAAATGTATAAGTATTTTAAACGCACACTACATGTGTACGTAAACGTCAAAACATACCTTCAGTGTTACCAACATATATATGTTTATATTATATTGAATAATATTAAATTTAACGTATTTATAAATTATTTTTTAATCTACAGGTATAAGTTACAGCATTCTGTTTAGGAACTCAATGACTCGTTTCAGTTTTATCTATTCAATGTTTCGTTCGCAGAATTTGTTACATCGAATAAAATATTATAAACTGAGATCATCAGCGAAGCGAACGCTGGTAGCCAACGTGATAATCACTTGCTACACGGTCTTTAATAACTGTGCTCATTGGAACCATTTTGTCATTAATAATTTACTAGAAACATAATTCACTAGAAGGTTAAGAAAAATAAGAACAAAAGCGAAGTAGTAGCATTTTTTAATTCTTCTAAAGTTTCTTCGATTTTACATTTCATAGGTCTGTCGTAAAAATGAACAAAGTTCGCAATTAAAAAGTTGAAAAACTATCTAATCCGCAGTATCTTGTTTTATGTGTGAAGTTTGCCTCACCGAACTACATTAAGTTGTTTTGTCTGCTACACGATACAGGAAGGCTTAGTTGTAGCTAGTACAAGATGTAATAATCTAGTGTAACTTGTTAACTTGACACGTTGACTCATCGGAAAAGAAAAGTGAAAGTCAGATTTGTTAGGAAATATATAAAAATCACGGCATTATGCAGTTACCCGAAATTATTTGTTTATTATATTTCTATGAAATTTTGTAAACCTGTAGAATATCCAAAAATAGATCTGCATTCTTTAATTTCAGCAACTCAAGGTTACGGGGTGAATACTTTCTATAAAGGTAACTTCCTCCAATGGTAACTCTCAAGACAATTAAACATAGGAAAAAAATGTTTCAATAAAATTTGAACGATTTGTAACATATTAGAAATGGTGTTTTAGAAAAGTTGTTTGAAGTATGTACCTTTATAATTATTTAAAACGTTACAACATAAAGAAGGTACCTTCAACGATTAACTTTGGTGAACTGAACGATCTTCCCTCTACTTTTCCTCATAATGGCTTGAGGCTCATTAAACTTTCTAAAATTAACGTATTAATTCTTGTACGAGTTATTCAGTTGGTAATGGCGCCATGGCAATTATTGGTAAGCAGGATTAATTATAACAACTGATATAGAATAAGTTATAATAGTTCAGAATTTTGCAATATTATCCAAGTTAATATATAGCGGCGTACAAATTATAGTTTAATAACTTTATAATAATATTTTACTGTACGTTAGGTTTAGAAATTCTGTCTTTTCACTTATTCAGTTACAGATACATTTAAAACTTGTACATTTTCTCCCTATTTTGGGGTTTTATTATTTTACCTCGAAGACGGAACAAAATCGAAGGAAGCATCGGTGATATTCGAAAGATTAAAAAATGTATGAATTTTTTCTCTAGATACACAGTAAATTCATTTTAAAAATGAATTTTTGAATCTGGCTTTACTCACCTTTTTATACTGATATGTCCTAGAAACGGGGTGAGGATAATTGAATGACATCATTGTATCATCACTTAGGAACGTGGACGAAAACCAAGTATTTTGAAGGAAAGCAAGTATTTTGTACCTATTAGAAATACATTTATCAATACTTTAATTCATAAATAAAAGTGGAATTGTCTTACATAAATATCTTATGTACAGTTTTTACAATTATCCGTTTATATTTTTCTCTTATAATTTCTATATGTAAAATAAAAACTATAAATACTATTACACAGTATGAAATCGAGTAAAGACATTGTAACAGAGAACTGATTTTATTGTGTATATGATTATAAAATTGAAAACTTCCTAAATAAAACATAGTACGTTCTAGAGGTACGTTTTCACATGACAATAAATTGTAACTCTTATGACAGAAAGCGTTCAGGATTAATTCACGATAGCCTGAAACAAACTGAAGCTTACTTCCTTTGCTAAGGGTTTCATTAATTTGACGATTAAATAATAATTTCGAATATTCTTTTCATGAAAAGCTACTATTTCGGTTGTACTTTATTTAAAGCAAAAGTATATAGTTTCCTATGTTTTTTATTAACCTTTCAAAATTTGTCGAAGTTTTTAATGACGTTTGAACGAAAATATTTTAAATTATGCATATGTTGAAAAAGATCGATTTTTGGGTGTTATACGTAAAATAAAATAAATTGAATGTTTAATGCCTTCTAAAATAATAAATTATATTTTAAAATTCAATTACAATGTAGTAAACAACGATTGTAAAACTGTCGGTTTTTGTTTTACATAAACACCGATGTTTAGAACTTACAACCATTAGTTGTTACTACTACATTGTAAAGGTTTAATTGCAAATAAATGTTTATACAAGTTATTTTATAAAGCAGCGAATTTATTTCATAAAGAAAATGGTTACAAGTAGTATTTTTTTAAAGAATCAGTTTCATTTACAGTTAAAGTAGAATTTATGATCATTCTTAAGTTTTGTTACACAGATTTGAAAAAATGAAACCATGCTTTCACGTGGCATTGTATTGTTATTCAATCATAAAAGCGATAAATATTCATTCAGTCTGCAGACATAAAATGTTTAGTAACATAATGTTGTTAAATATCTGACAGTAGAATCTACATATATTACCTTTCAAAATATTAATTTAGTTTTGACAGAATTGTCAATTATACGTTCAAATACAGATCACAACATTCAATATAATATAACATAGATCAATAACTATCATACAAGCATACACGAGTGAAAAAGTACTAAAGCGTTAATATTGTGACACTTAAGATCAGTAAATTATCAATAAAAATATTTTCGTAATTGTTGAAATTAAATGTAAAAATAAAATTGCATAAATAAAAACACTTAATTTGCAATGTCATGTTTATTTACTGCTTATCTTCTACATAGTTGATCAACTCAGTGGTCAAATGACAAATTACAGTACGTCCAATTTTCATTGAAACAATTGCCTATGCTTTTGCAAACGAATACAAATAAAATCTTGACGTCACCTTAATTTAAAATTTCAGTTAATCATTTCTGAATCCGAAGATAAAGAAAATCATATTTTTCTAAGTGTTATTCAGTATCGCTCAATTGTTATTATTCGTCATAGCGCGAAATTAGCAAAACCGTATTTTTCATCATTCCTCCACTTGGCCACTGAATCGTCGAATATTACTTTTAAACGATCGAAGTGTTTCAATTATTAATTATCATCGAGTAAACAATGTAGTTTCTCACCTGTCACGTTAATATAGTATCACAATGATATATTATTGTCCACTGTGATGTATGCAAGTACATCGTTGCACGATAGTGAACAGTCCGAGTTAAGTAAACATCGTGGACACTATTCGGAAATGTTAACAATGGTCGGTGGTATTTGAATGATGACAGTGCAGAGCGGACTTCACTGACATTACACAAGCAAACGCACGCGTTGAAGTCTCTAGACAAACTGACTCTCCACTGCCATTCAACCAGCGGCTACCCTCACCAACTTCGAACCCTCTACCAACTGTACAGGCAGATCTCTCTAAATGCTTTGAATGTATTGCACATACACATTGACATGTACCGTCTTGACGCGTGCTGCTTACTGAGAAACTTGTTTGCCCATATTAGGAGGATAGTTCGATTATTTACGAAGATTTAACCCCTTGCTCTATGATTTATGTATTTTTCGATTATGATCGACGGAACTGCTTTGATATTAATAATTTATTGAAAAAAGAGAAACATTGTAGGTATATTCTATACCTATGTTTGCTCTGAAATATAATAATCGATAACAAGTGAATAATATTTAATTTCAATTCACAAATATTGAATTATATTTATATTTTTTAGATCTTGTTGAAAATCTTCACCATGAGTTTCATACGAAGAATTCTATTATAATCATTGTATTGAATAAACAAGAAATTTTCGTCGTTTCTATACATTTGATTCTAAACCGTTTATGCTTTCTGCGTTTTGTAAATAGTATTATTCTGTCAGTCTTCGAAACTTTCAAACCTATTATTGGAAATATTCGTCTAACGATTGTAAGACAGATATTTGCAGATATAAAATGTCAGCTGACTGTTTTGTTAAATGTTTCACCTTTTTTCACATAGTTATTTTTATATGTATTTTAAAGTAGCGTATAGGTTTAGTATGTTTCTTCTTTTTTATGTGAAGATTTAAAGCAGCATCAATATTGAGGTTATTAGCGACTAATACCCGTGCAGATGGTATATTTTGAAGTATAAATTTATATTCAGCAAAGACTCGACTGTTTTATTATGCATGAGTGTATGTCATTAACGTCGCAGATTGAGGGCCTATACATATCCACTGACCGATTAACCCGAAATTAGCATTAATATCTTGAAACCTATTAATTTCCCTGAAGTACCCACATCATTCTTGTTTCGTTGATCCAAATTTCATGTTGAAATTCTGATTCCATTAGTGTTTCCGTAAAGAAAAAATGAAGAAGTATATTCCAACAATATTCTTCAAAAAATTACAAAATAAAAGAATGATCAGTCGTATTTAATCTTTCCATAATCTTCATTCTTCAATTTCTTTCGATATTTAAAAAAATGCTTGCACTAGGCATATATCATTTCATTTTTTATTATGCACCAATATCGATAATTCGCCTTAATAATAATATTAATAAATGATAATATAACGTTTTCACAACTTTGAAGAAGAAAATAATAAGCACTTCGAAAATATTTTCATTTGTAGAATAACATAAGGAAAAAGAAAATTAAGCTAACATTTAATAATATACCACAGCATATTTTGTTCGCGAATAAACAAGATAAAAGCAATGGTCGGTTGAACTATATTTATGCCTAACTTACAGTTATTAGTATAACACTTACAATAAAGTTGGAGTACTTTCAATGAATAGCACGACTGTATCTTGTAGACACTTGTTGCATCTTATATGTGTAATTAGTAATTAAGAATGACATCTCATTGACAAAGTCGCAATCCCTTTCGGCCTGAAGCCTCGAAATAGCAAATACATTTTCTGTACAATAGCATAAGAAGAAAGAAGAAAGTTGCAATAACATTTAATGCATGATAGTGTATTCTGTTTATGAATAAATAAGATAATAAAAGCAATATCAATTCAAATATATTTATGCTTACAATTATTATAACACTTACAATAAGGTTGGAGTATTTTCAATTAATAGCACGACTGTACGTTGCAGACACTTGTTACATTTTATACGTGTAATCAGTAATTAAGAATGATACCTCATCGACGAAGTCGCAGTCCCTTTTGGGCTGGACGTCATTCGTGTATACATGCAAGGACGTTTTAAGAGTCTAGACACGGAGTTAAGATAGACAACTGCTCGATTAGCAGATATTTACGCGGCGACACGGTCGAATTCAAGGGAGTGCTTTGTAAAGGCTCAAGAACTTCATGCCTTTATCGTTCAGTTCCCGACCGAGCCTCTTCGATGCTTGATAAAGTGGCAGACGAATACCGCCATTAACATTATCTCTTGTCAACCAGATACACCGACGTAAGCTATGCAGACTCAGCTCTTTGATCGCCGGCTAGGGTAACTCGCTTTAAACGTTCGAAAGAGTGTTAAAAAAAAGATAACATTTGCCCGGGGCTTAATGGTTCGGCCCCTCGAAAAGAGTGGGAAGAACGTTTCTTGATTTCATTTGGCCCTTTCTATTTGCAACTCGATTTTAACGATGCAATAACTCTTCGTGGATGAGGATTCTTTGAAATATACGAAACCTTCGGCAGATGAGGCTAAATTATATATCCGTTGCTCAACCCCTTGACCTACAGTATCCTGTCGTACTCGTGAAATTTTAAATTAAACGTGGAAAATCGAAGTTATAGACGTTTATTTGAACGATGTCAATTTCTATATATTTTTCCGTTGTCAACACAAACTTCGTTTCTTTTTTTTCGCGTTTATCCAAAACAACGCATACACGCACGCTACACCCATATATGCACGCACATCCATGAAGTTTACATCAATATTAACCTACACGTCTACAAAGTGTTATTTATTTTTTCTGAATACAAATTAAATATTACTTTTGTATTATTAATTACTAATCTTTGGAGTAAATGTAGACGTAGGATTAGTATACAAATTTGTTCTTTTCCTAATAAATTATTAACGATTAAGTAGTTGTATCAGTTGTTTAATAGAACAAATAGTTCACTGTATAAACGATTAGTAAACAAAATATGATTTTTTAATTTGGTTATGATCTATAGTTGGTTCCATATCCATCTGTCTAAGATTTAAGAAATTGCAAGCACACTTATAACTATGGAACAATAAATTTTGTTAAATTCAAGCTTTCTGCTCCCATGTATATCATAATATTATATTCCTATAAAAAAATAACACATTTATAAAATGTTCAGTCATTACGCTGTTTAAAGAAACAACGCTCGTGCCCCTTAAAGCTAGCACCCCGTGCGACAGGCTAAGACATAAATCAGTTTTTCTCGAAATTCTTTTGAGAACCATATAACCAATTCTTTCGAAACTGTCAAAGCATCTTACCGTTCTATTAGAATAAAGAAAAAGAATATTCGTTACATAAGAAATATTTATTAAACATATGTTATAAATATAGGAACAATATTGAGAAGAATCTAATGTGATCTAAGTATCCAAATGATTAAATTCAAATTTAACCAAAACTAATATTTCCAAACGGAAGGAAATTTTTTTTATTTAATCCTTAGTACCATCCTGCAATTTGCAGGAGTAGCACTGTTAACAGATTGTGTACTAATTAATTCTTAGAAAATTGTTCACTTCGAGTTCATTTAAATTCTCTTTCGACAGCCTCTAGTTTCAGAGATTTTGCAAATATACTTTCAACCCTGAATTTTGAAGGGTGTCTGCACTTCTTCCATAAGAAAAAATACGTATAAAATGTTTTCTTAGTTAACCAGTACACGTCTTCACTTTCTACTCTGATTTGTCGTACTTCTTTCTGTATATATTGCTTCCAGGTTAATTTCGAGTCTAGATGAAGTCCCAGGTATTTAATCACTTTTGTTCGTGTTATTTCGTTATCGTGGAGTGTGATCTTTTGGAACGAGCTTTCAACATAAACGCATCAAATGTTGCTCATTATTTTCCATTAACAATTACGCATTCTCCAACCGGCGTTTAAAGATCTCGTGTGTCTTTTCGCCGTACGCCGCGAAATACCAGGAAGGGAAACAATAATTAGTGATGTCACCGGTCGTCAAAAGCCCGTGCGATATCGCTCCGCCGTTATCGCGGCGGTTTATCGTTTGTGCCACCACGCAAACCGTTATCGCCGAGTGAAACGTACCGCTCCGCGAACGTGCGAATGTTTATGACTCGTGTCTGATCCTTGACGCTTTGATTCGATCAATGGAACCGGAGGACACGTTTGTTGGTCGGTCTTATTAAATGACGCTACGCATTCATATTCCATCAGTAAACATGCTGATCGCGATGGATACTCGGTGAACTCCAAGTATTGGAGTTCTTTGCGAGTCACATCCTTAACCCTTTACATTCGAGAGGTGACTCTTAGTCACCATTTCATTTGATATAGCAACACTGTGAATTAGAAAAATGGATGCAAAATTGATGTTTTATGAGACATTTTTTACTATGACTTTTAATCTAGTTAACACGTTGAACTCGGTTACCGATGACCGGAGCATCCAAGTTACTTGACACATTTACAAGAAGAAAAGTCGTATCAAAATATTTAGTTACATAGGCACCTAAATAATAGGGTACCTTAAGAGTTATGTTACTAAATCATAAAATAATACTTCTTTGATGAAATATATAAAAATATGTAAAATAAAATAAAAATAAATTTTATCAAAGACGTATTTTATATATTTTATGTATTTATATATATTTTATATAAAATACGTTTTTGATAAAATAATACTGGTCGTGAATACTCAGTCTTTGGTAGTTTGAGGGGAGACAGTTCGACACCCCTATATCAAACGATAGCTTGGAATATTAGTATACGATTGAATTTTGCAAATATGCTTAAAAGAATTTTTTCACGCGTATCCATTTATCTGGAAATTTGTCCTATCGTGTAATTTATTCGAAAATTTGGAAATTTACATGAAAATTTATTTTATCTTAAAATAATCAAAGTTCTACTCTATTATAAGTACGGCGAACTTCGTGTATCAATGTTTCAATTATTCATATACCACAGAAATGGCAAAAAGAGTTTATGCTATGGCACATGTTTCACGTGGACGAATCTTCGAGACATTCGCCAATCTCGAGGCGTAAATACGTTTGTGAACCGTTATGGAATCGAATAACTATCCAAAAGGTCACTGATCGAATGGCAGTTATTTCAAAGAATAAATAATCTTAGTTTGTTATAGGTATACCTGAAACTTTTACAAAACAATACACG